TTTGGATTTCGCCCAAAATTATACATTTGTTGTCCAGGATGAAATACAATCTAGACATTGGGTTAACGATCAGGCCACCCTCCATCCATTTGTCTTTTATTTTCGAGAAAATGAAGAGTTAAAAGCGTTAAATTTTTGCGTACTTTCGGATTGTAAGGAACACTCAGCCTCTACTGTTCACACATTTCAAATGAAAGTTATTGAAGAGGTGAAACTCATTTTCCCTAACGTAAATTGTTTTCATTATTTTTCTGATGGGGCTCCTACCCAATACAAAAATAAAAAAAACTTGAGTAACTTAACCCATCATTTCGAAGATTTTGGAATATCAGCATCGTGGAATTTTTTCGCTACTGCCCACGGGAAAAGTCCCTGCGATGGCGTAGGTGGCACAGTGAAGCGCCTCGTCAGAACTGCAAGTCTAAAAGCAATTAATGGAAACTCCACTATTTTGACTGTTGATGAAATGTTTGAATATTGCAAAACGCATATTTTGGGTATCCACTTCGTAAAAGTCGACGCAGGTGAAGTAAAAAGAATTAAAAGACATCTCAATCGTCGATACAACTCGATGAAAACTATTCCAGGAACACGTAGCCATCATTGCTACATTCCCCTTTCGACATCGAAACTCAGAATGAAGAAAATTTCTGAATCGGAAGAATTTGAAGACATTTCTTTCCTTGATTTGTAAAAAATAAAATATTTGCTATAGCAATTTAATCCATAAAATCTGAAAATAAAAATCGTTTATATTTCATCGTATGTAAAAATTAAAAAAATTAAAATTTGTTATTATTTGCTCCTCACAATTACGTTCTAATCAATTTTTTAAATAAAATTTACCCTGAAGTAATTTTTTTTAATAGCCATTCATAAAACTTTTTATTGAAGAATAAAATATTTAAAATCAAAATTTTATTTACTAAGCATTTTTTAATACTATATATAATTGAAATATTTAAATATATTTTAGAAATAATATTTTTAAAAAATAATTATGAATTTTAATGTTTAAATCTTATTTGCAGACTAAAATTTTAATTTAAATAAATAAATGGCTATTAAGACAACTAACTTCAGTTTCGTAGAACTACTTGCATTTTAACCTTCAATTTCGTTTTTCGAAGCTGATTTTCTAAACTGAATAAAACTATAAAATAGTTCGAAATCCATCGCCAAAATTTGACAGAATGGAAAACAGGGTCTAATTTAAGTATAAGGAGAAAAATTGGATTTTTTTATTTTGCACCTGAGGAGTTACAAGTGTTCAAAATCACCGAAAATCCTGGAAAGTTCAATATTCAAGGTAACATTTTTCATATTTCTACACCATAATATTAAAAAGTCAACTCATGATATGAAAGTACTTTGAAAGTACTTAATATTAAGTAGTAATAAATTTTTAAATATTTACAAACTTTCTAGAAAAATATAATAAAAATATGGTGAATTTTGGCATTTGACAGATAAGATTAAAAATCAATTTTCATCTAATATTTTGGACTTTTTTACATAGCAATCAATTTATATAAGTAAATTGGACTATTGTGATTAAATTTCAATCAAAACATTTATACTATCTAAATTATTTTTGTGTTTTTTTATTAAATTTTCAGAGCTGTCAAAATAACCTTTTTTCCCTGCACCTCCACTTAAAAATTAAAATTCGAAAGCAAATACGAATAATTTTATAAAAAATTTGCCAAAAATGGATTGTGCTGATATTAAAAATCATTTTTACAAAATATTATGTTTTTCTGAAAATAGGCCGCAACGACTTTAGGTGAAATATAATGGAATGACCCTAAAAAAATTTTTTGAATCAAAATTTTGAAAAAAATACCTCTTCGATTTGAAATTTTTTTTTTTGTAGTTATTGTCTATAAAGTCAAGAATCCTTCCTATAAATTTAATTATGGGACAACAATAACTTTACGAGAAAAAAAATAAAATGTCCAGCGCGGCATGCCGGGACTCGTGCATGTATTCGCTTATGGCGGCGCAAGTATCGTTCCAAATCACTCTACAAGTCACAATTTTTTGCCAAAACGATTTTTCTTTTTTTCTAAATCTTCGTAATTAAGTCTTCTATCGATCTCTCGAGCCCGGTTTTGAAATTTTGTTTTTAAACATTTTTTTAATAACAATAAATTTTAAAAAAATCATAAAATCGTAAACTATATTTTTTTCAGCTTCAATCATTCAGAAAATTAATCAAAAAACCTATTAAAAGAATGTTTGAGTGTTTCTGATGTATAACAAAAGTATACCAATTTATTAAATTGTTTAAACAATTAATTGTTATTTCTTTCCTAAACTGTACTTAAGGTTAGAAATTTCTAGTTTTTTCTCTATTGTTACAATTTTTCATGAGTAAAACATCTACTGATGATAAGAAAGAAAAAATTATTTATTATAAAACTGTTTAGCCAATGAATTGTTGCCATTTTTTTATAAATTGCACTTAAGGCTAAAGTTTCTAGTTTTTTCAAAGTACAATTCATTAAAAAATAGAAAACTATAAATTAAATAATAAGTTTCTAGTTTTAAGTTCAGTAAATTGAAAACTTTACAAAAAATAAATTGTTTAAACAAAAAAAAAATGCACAATTAAAAAAAACTAGAAGTTTCTAACCCTAAGTACAGTTTAGGAAAGAAATAACAATTAATTGTTTAAACAATTTAATAAATTGGTATACTTTTGTTATACATCAGAAACACTCAAACATTCTTTTAATAGGTTTTTTGATTAATTTTCTGAATGATTGAAGCTGAAAAAAATATAGTTTACGATTTTATGATTTTTTTAAAATTTATTGTTATTAAAAAAATGTTTAAAAACAAAATTTCAAAACCGGGCTCGAGAGATCGATAGAAGACTTAATTACGAAGATTTAGAAAAAAAGAAAAATCGTTTTGGCAAAAAATTGTGACTTGTAGAGTGATTTGGAACGATACTTGCGCCGCCATAAGCGAATACATGCACGAGTCCCGGCATGCCGCGCTGGACATTTTATTTTTTTTCTCGTAAAGTTATTGTTGTCCCATAATTAAATTTATAGGAAGGATTCTTGACTTTATAGACAATAACTACAAAAAAAAAAATTTCAAATCGAAGAGGTATTTTTTTCAAAATTTTGATTCAAAAAATTTTTTTAAAATTTTTTCGGGCAAAAAAAAATTTTTTTTTTTCTTTTTATTTTTTTCTTTAAAGTGCTTCTTATTATGAGTATTTTCCAAAAAAAATTATCTTAATCGGTTAACAAAGAAAAAAGTTATGTGCCTTTTTTGAAAAACCGACCAAAATTTTGAGTAAGCGGTAACTCAAAAAATTTTGAAAATTTTGAAAAAACTTTTATACATTTTTATTCCATGTATATGAGGGAACAAATTCAGTAAGTATTATTAATATTGCTAAAATCATCGAAAATTCTTCAGATCACTTCCCGTGGAATTGCTCTACAATAATTTAAAAATTGAAAACATTTAAAATGCAATGAATATAGTTAATAAAAAATAAATTGAATATAGAAAAGAAACGAATAAATTTAATGTAGAAATTAAACGGAAAAATTAAAAAAATTAAAATATATAGAAATGAAAACAAAAAGAAGGGGACAAATTGTCTGAGCGGAATAAATAATTGATGAATCGGGCGTGAAAATGTTATTGAAGAAGCGTGTGATATATACTCGCAGAGAAAAGGCGCTGAGAAGGTGCAATTAAGATAATTAATTTAATACCTCGCACGTTACAGAGACTAGCTACTGGGTTTGCATAAATCCTCTCGTCATCAGGCGGTGAGTTATTGCTTTGTATGTACGTATGACAGACACTCTCCTCAAGCTTTCGAAGCGATTTAAACACATGTCTTTTCTTCAAGTATCTACTTATACCAGACGTCACTTTATATACATATATACACATATATATACTCTCTTCTTATATAAGACGATAAATGCTAAAACCCTTCGTCGAGTCTTTGAATCACTTTGCATTTATTATTAAAACTCAACTTGATTCCCTTCTCACGCTTTTCTGGAAAATTCTCGTCAATATCAACTGACGGCTGTTTGGCTATCAATATTCTTCTCGTCATTAAGAAATAATCGTCCCAGTTCTTCTCTCTCTCTCTCTCTTTCCCTTGCGCCCAGCAGAAATCTACAACATGAATTATTAATTAATCCTCTATTCATTCGAATAATTCAAAAAGGATATTTTTCAAATAATTATTTAATCGTTAGTATTTTTCGCCATTATTATTTGAAAATTAAGATTTTCCCGAAATTAGTAACTTCTAAGAATATTATTATTATTATTATAAAACAAGAATTATTTTTTTATTTTGATTATTATTTGCTTTTTTTTGTTTTTCTTTTGTATTTCCTTTTTTTTGAATATGAAACGAGATTTGATAGAAAAGTTGTGAATAAAATTGACTGATTATAAAACTTGCATTCTTTTTTCTAGTCTAAAAAGCAAAGAACGGTATTTAACTAATGCGGGATTTGTTTATGGTAATAAATTCGCTTTCTTTTCGATGGACTTCAAAGGAAAAGGACTCGACAACATTGTTAGAGTAAAAATTCTCGTTTAATGCGCTATCACGAGGCCCCGCATTTGTGTATGGATTGTAATTATTCCCGAGAAATATATACTTTCTAACTCTCTCTCCTACACACCGATTAGAGAAAACGAATATAATTAGCGATTCGAAAAAAATCAAATACGTATCAATCAGCAAAATAAAGTTGTATTTTTTTTCTATGCTTATAAAATATTTTTTCGATACTGAAACATTGTCGATCAAAAAAATATGTTGCGAAGCAACGTTTTTGTCTCAATTTAATATCTGCAGAAAAACGGGGACTTTTTTAATTTTAATTTTGTATTTTTTAATTTTGTGACTAATAGTAAAATGACTTTTAGTATCGGAAAAATATTTAATTTTAGCCAACTGTTTATTATTTCTTGCTAACTCTGAGTCGTTGTTGCAGAAGACAGGCGCTGTTGACGGTGTCAGGCGGAGGTTCTCGTTTGAGTTCTGGTGCTCCGGCGTCGCCCGAGAAGAGGCGATCATCGAATTCCGGCAATGATCTTATGGACGACGACGATAAACTCCTGGACGTTGTGGGACCGGACACGCCTCATCCGGCTCATCATCAGCGGGAGCGGGAGCACTCGCGAGAAAGGGACGATCGCAACAGTGAACGGGGGGAGGGTTCGGAGTCCTCAGGCTCTGAGAGTGGAGGAACCATGGGCCAGGCGGCGGCGTCCGAAGGTCCAAGGCCGGATGTCTCGGTGGGACCGCCACTCCATCCGCCCCTCTTGCCATACCTCTACCCCCCGGTGCCGGGTCTCTATCCCGGCCCGGGTCACCTGATACCACCAAATCCCCTCGGCCTCCATGGCGGCGTCACACCCGGCATGATCCTCAACGCCCAATTAGCGCTTGCCGCCTCTCACCATCCGGCGCTTTTTGCTCATTATCCACATCCGCTGGCGAGTCCTCTCCACCAATTGAAGGGCCATCGCTTCGCTCCCTACACACTCCCCGCCTCCTCCCACGGTTCTGCGTTCGAAACCGTCACACCGGGAAGTCGCACCCTCAGTCCAAGGTCGCCACCCCCGAGGCCTCCGACCAGGTCGCCAACGCCAGGCAGCGGCAGTCTCGTCTCGGCCACCGGCGAACTGAAATCAATCGAAAACATGGTCAATGGTCTGCAGGAGAAGCGACGGAGTCCCAGTCTCACGCCAGGACACAGGGGCGACACGGACGCTGGCGGGGGGAGTCCGTGACAGGAGAACGATCAAGTCACCAGTACAAATTCCGAGTTCCTCGACGATGAGGAGCGCAATCATTCGAATTCGGAGGATTCCCTAGAGCCGGACTCAACGTCCGAACCATCGTAGCCCCAACTTAGTCAAAACAATTTCCCCCCCCTAATGGAAATGTGACGTTAAAACTACAAAAAAAAAGTGCAATTTAACGAAGACAAGAAACTGACGGTAATCGTCGAAAAAACCCAGGTGTGTCCATGCGAGTGTAATAAGTCGGGAAATTTCCCAAAAACACTCCCAGGTCCCTTTGTAAATTTACTCGTCAAAAAAAAGAGTCGAATTCTACCTGCGAATACTTAGACATTAAGAGAATCTATAATATTGCAATATATAAGTGCACCTCCACTATTTGCAGTCCTTGTACATATGTACCCTAGTTGCATATATAAATACGACTATTCTCTGTATTAATTATTGAATATATTATTATATGGATTATTAGAGTCGTAAATCGCGTTCGCGAGTCAAAAAATTTATACATGAAACATTTTTTTCTATCCGGACGTCATTTTGGCAAAACATTCCTTTACGCACCCAAAATTTTCTTTAAACCACTAATCGCTCGAAATTAAGCTTTCTAGATAAAAAAAAACTTGACCAAAATTAGAATTCTTGTAAATTTTTAATTTTTATTTCCGATTCTGCTAAATTCTCTCCGACGGCGGAGGAAAAAACATAATTTCATAATCTTGATCTCTAAAATTTTCGTTTTTAACAAAAATCTCTCTTTTTTCTCTTCGGCAAAAAAAACGAATCAAGAAAAAAAAAAATTTCAAGATTTAAAATCTTTAAAGTGCATTGTTATTTCTAAAAGGAAAAAATTTTCTCTAAGAATATTGTACATTTCCGGATTTTTAAAAGAATACATTTTTCAAAAATGTAAAAAAGTTTATTATTTTCAAAAAAAAATCTCAAATCTCGCATTGAAAAGAAGGATCGAGTTTCAAGTCTCGTCATCAGTGTCGTCATGTGATAAAAAAAAGGCGAAAAGGAAGATTCTCGAACTATTTTGCAATTTTTTTTTCCAACTTCTTTCAGAGCGAATGCCAAATTCTTCGAATTTCAACAAATGTTCTTTAATTTTAAAAACCAACGTTTCTTAAAACAAAAAACTTTCAGTGTAAAAAAATATTTATAAAATAAAAAGTAATACCAAAGAACAAAAAAAAAATATTTTAAATTAAAGTACATTTATGTTTGAAAAAAAAAAATTTTCGTATTTGTTTGTAAAAAAAAAACTCCGTAAGAAATTTTGGTATCGCGATGAAGTTTTTGCATCACTCTTTGCAAATTGTATAAAAAGTAGAGGTTTCTAATAAATTATTGCAAATCATGTAATTGAAATTACATAATGCAATCTCAACTCACGTGAGTCTTTGAGAATACACATCATGAACAATCGGGGATTGTACTCGCAAAGATAAAAGAAAAAAAAATAATAAACTGTGCTTAAAAGCAGGATCAGAGAGTAAGTTAAATTTCAGATACAAAAAAAAACTATCATTTGTATGCGCCGAGGGGGTTTATTTACATAGATATAAATATATTATGATTTTCTTTTTATAGAAAATAGTGGTCTCGAAAAAACACAACGGCAAATACGGAAAGCTAGTAGTATCTAGGGATAGTCTGATTAGCTGCACCTCTCTATGTAATTCCTCGATATTATTTATTTAAAAAAAAATCAATTCAAACCACTATTTAGAAAAATTTATTTAACTCATTCATTCGTATACGAAAATTATGTATTTTTATTTAGAACTTACAAATTATATCTATCAGAGATTTTTAATTTAATTTTAACTTAAAAAAAAATTTAACACTTAAAATAAAACCAAAATTTGTTTAAAAAACATTTTTCTAATTTTTTCTAAAAAAAACATTCCTTGTCATGGTTTGAAAAACTCGTTGCTTCAAATCTTTCCTTCTTTTGTTCTTTGTTTACAAAAAGATTTGAAGCAAATAAACACGTCGCAAATGTAACGAAAGGAAAAATCATTCGAAATAAAATCGTCAAGGCTCGTGGAAATAGTTTCGCAATTTCCTTGCTGCAAAATTTGTAAATAAAAATTTCACTGCAGATTATATCTAAAAAAAAGATTTTTCATTTCGAAGACGTGATAATTAAAAACGATTTCTGGTTAGACTAGATTTCGTTTTTAGGTGCAGCTTTTTTTGTCACGTTTTCGTGTTTCGAACCGGGTAATTCGAAAATTTCGGCCCGTTTGCTAAATGTTGTAAATTAAAATTTATATACGTAAATATTAAATTTGTGAAAAAACCCATTAGAAACCGAGAGCGTGATTCTGAAAATATAAAACTCTATGACTGTCTTTTTAGTGCGAAAAATTAATATTTAAAGAAAAAAAAACGGTTTATACAATGTGACAAAAAAAAGAACACGATCAGCACAAAGAATAACTAGAATATTTGAAAATAAAGAAAAGAAAAAAAAAAAGAATTGGACCCAAGCTCAGGGCCTAATGATCGATTTTAACCGAGTCCTTTGTTTTTAAAAAAAATTTTGCTCAACTTTGTTAATTTCTTCCAAGAACATTAAAAGCGGCCCTGTGCTCGATAACAAAAAATAAAAAATATGGGCCCTTCGAAAAAGCAATAAGGCCTCTGAGGCCGCATCACTCCCTGAGAATATTCCTATCGCTTGTATGTAATTGTACACTCTGGCCCCCAAGCCCTCCAAAAATCCACATGATTAAAAATTATATATTAATTTAAAAATAAAATTGAGTATTTATTTCTCTTTCCTATCTTCCTATCCAAAATGTACTTTTTATCTTTTCAAAACAAAAACTTATGACAATCGAAAAAAAAAATATCTTTTAAAATAGAAATATAAATTATTATTCTCTTCTCGTTTGATTAAAAAAAAATATCAGTTTTATTCTATTTGTCAAAAATTCTTTTAGTATTTTTGATGACTCTCTATTGAAGAAAAAGCATAGAAAATTTTTTTTAAAAATTCAGAAAAAAATAATATAAGGAAAATTAATAATAAAATATTTACTTGGCTTCTCTGTGGAACTTGAGTAACTGATTAATTAGTGCGATCTCCTAACGACGTCGGAACTTTTGAAGTCATGCCATTTATAAATTTTTTCTTTTCATTTGTTCCGTTTGAAATTAAAAGAGAAGCATCGAATAGAATTATATTTTTAAATAGAGTCTCTCGTAATGCAACTAATTGCAAAGATTAGAATCCAAGAGATAATCTACTCTTCAATCCGACAGTAAATAATGCGCTAAAAGCTCCTTTAAATAAAGAATAATATTTCGAAATTTTTATTTTCTTTAAAAAACTTACACGCTTATACAATGAATTAAAAATTTATACAATTACTCGTTCTTATACTTTATCAAATGAAAATTCTTTTTATAAAATAGCAAAAGAAAAAAAGAAAAGAAAAATTTTATAAACGGAAAAAATAAAAAACTAAATAGAAATTCATTAAAGCCGATAATTAATAAAAATTGAGAACATTTTAAATAGATATTAGATTTGATGGTAATGCATTTAAATTATATTTTTTTTTATCATTTTTAATTGTTATTACTTTTCACGGCAATGATTTCTTCAGTGGTGAGAAATTCTGATTAACTCAAATTTAAATGTCGAACTAGACGATAAAGATTCCAATGTTCACGGTAAATGTAACTCAGTAATTGCAGGAAGGCAAATGAATACGCACATTACGAAATAATTAACGATATACAAAATACATATAATAGATTATTAGAAGAATATCCATTAATTTTCCCGAGAAACGGTTAATTAATTTAAATCGACATTCAAGCGACGATGAATAGATATATCAAAAAAAAGAGGAAGGAAGGTTTCCCTCGCACTAATTGTTTCACAAATGAAAAAAAAAATTTGTTTATGTTTTTATTTGTTTATGTAATTTGTTTATTTGTTTTTTTCCAGAAACATATAATAATTACAGTACTGTTTAAGGCTGCGTCTACAACAGAAAAAATAATGTGTAGAAAATTGTGTAATATATATAGTGTAATTGCCCCTGACAGTTGTCAATGCCAAAAACAATACACATTACACTACAAATTACACATTATTTTTTTCTATTGTAGACGCAGCCTAAGTAAATTTATATTATAATAATACAAATAATAATGAAAATAAAAATATAATAAATAATAATAATCAGAGCTTAAAATTAGTTTTTATCTGCTTTTTTGTTTCCTAATTTTTTTAAAAATCATTTTTCTTCTTAAATATGTTTTGAGTTTTAAAATTAATGTATTGAAAAATCATTGAATTCTTGCTAAGTATTTATAAAAAATTTAAGAATAATTGAATTCTTTTGAAGGATTTTATCAAAATTTTTGAAAATAATTGAATTCGTTCGAGAAATTTTATTAAAATTGAAAATAATTGAATTCTTGCAACCAATTTTATTATTTATGAAAATAATCGAATTCTTCCAAAGAATGTTATTAAAATTTTTGAAAATAATTTAATCCTTGGCAAAAATTTTTATTAATAAAATGTTTTTTATTAAAAATTTATTAAAAACCTTTATTGACAATTTTGAAAGCAATTGAAATTTATGAAGAATTTCATTCAACTTTTTAAACTAATCGTGTTTGTTAATAATTGAAATTAAACCTTTAATTCTTGAATTTTATTAAAATTTTCTCAGAATTTGATTTTAATTCTTTAAAATAATTTAATTCATTCATAGTAAAAAATACTGGAAATAATTGAATCCCTGAGAAATATTTTATTATCTACAAAAATAATTTAATTCCTGACAAAAATTTTTATTGACATTTTGGAAAGTAATTGAAATTTATGAAGAATTTCTTTTAAGATTTTAAAACAATTTATTAAATTTTATTAAAATTATAGACAGACAATTAAATTCTTTTAAACAATTTAATTAGAGTTCTCGTAAATAATTAAATTTTTTTGCAATATTTCTTTTAATTTCTTGAAATTAATGTTTTTTTTTAAATTTTAATTGAAACTTTTGTAAATAATTAAATTTTACAAAGAATTTTAACAAAAACTTTTGAGAATAATAAATAATTGAATTTTTTTAGAAAAATTTTATTACAATTTTTAAAAATAATTTAACTTGATGGAGAAATTTTATTAATATTGTGTTGAAAATAATTGAATTCCTGAGAAGAATTTTATTATTTATCAAAAATAATTAAATTGTTTTGACGAATTGTATTAAAATTTTAGGAAATAATTGAATTCTTTCGAAAAATTTAGTTAAAAATTTTTTTTAATTATTTAATCCTTTCGTAGAGTTTTAAGTTAAAATATTCTGATTATTTTCAAGTCAAATAATTATTTTCAAATAAATAAATAATTTTGTCTAATTATTATGAGTAGAAAAAAATCAAAAACTAAACATTGCTTCCTATTTGAAAGATTTTTAGTAAAAATTTCAAAGAAAAAAATATTTTGTGTATGAAATACCTCAAGATAGGAATTCTTGATCTTGTGAACATGAAATCGAATATTTTCAACTTTTGACGAACTCTTTCTGGGAGATCTTCATCTTCATTTTTGGAATATCATCAAAATCATCGTCATATCATCAGGAGATTGATAAAAATTTTCGTAAAGCTTTTTTCATTCACTGGCAGTAGAAAACGAATCTGAAAATTGAATTTCTAAATCAGATCCAAAAGTAGATACTTGAGAATAAATATTAGAATCGATTTTTTTTTTGAAGATAAAATTTATGACAATGTAGAGTGTGCTATTTTACTGTTCGTATTTTTTTCAGGTCTCATGAGTAATCAGGGAATAAATTAATACTTGAGTAGAGCAGAAAAAAGAGCAAAATATCGAGAGTTGAAGGTGATTTATATCGCTCGAAATCAAGCTCAATCGTTGGAGTCTCATTTTTCAATTCTCTTTCTCTCTGTGTCTTTTCAATATAATGACGGAGTCGGAAGTAAATCGCTCGAATCACGAGATACGACGACTTGTCCTTTTCGTTGTTTTCGCTTCGTTTCTGGAAAAAAATAGAGAAAAGAATTTACATTATGTTACACTTCGCACATTACAATTTCACTTATATATTTAATTATTTTCATAATCATTTTTCAATTTTATTTTTTCTATTTTATTTTTCATTAGAAAAAATTATTTGCTTTTTCGAAAAATAAACTATTTTACTAATTATTACTATCGTTATGTAATTATTACCTTTCTGTATATTTTTCTTTTTTTCCTTTTGTTTTCATTCTAAAAGAGCATTAATAAAAATATTCTTCGAAATAAATATATTATCATTGGAGAATTTCAAATTAAAAGCAACAGCGGGAATTGTTTCAAGAAACTAAATCACGAGAAGATTTCGCTCTCTTTTGCTTTTGAAACGTTCGAGAGATAGCCAAGAACGTTTGCCTGTTGACAGTTTAAAAGTCGCCGCCTACCGTGTGTCTCGGGTCAATCAATTTCGAAGTTAATGGTTTTAAAACAACCTCGGAAATTCCGCGAATATACGAGATATATTCGCGCGGTGCGGTAATAAATCCACAACTGAGCATGATTTTTTTTCCACTGATATAAACTATTAAAAAAAAAAAGTTCGATCGAGCCAATAACATTAATCTTTGAAATTTATAAATTTCACTCGACTCACTGTACCGATTATTTTCAAAACAATTTCCCTCCAGTTCTTCAATTATCAGAGGAATATTCATTGGATATAATTAATTTTTACACCATAATGGAACATTTTAAATTAATATTAAAGTTGAAAAATTTTAAAAATATGATTTTTTTCAATTGACTTCTATGAATGAAAACTAATTTAATTTTCGATCAGTTTTCAGAGTGAAAAATCGAAAAAAAGTAATTTTAGAGGAAATACAAACAGAAAGTGAACAATTTTTTCCAATTACGTTATATAGAAAATTTATCATTTTTTTGGGAATAAAAAAACATTGTCGAGAAAGATTTTGAAAATTACAATAAAAAATCAATCGAGAGAAAATAAATAAAGAGGGTTGCCACAAAAATTTTTTGTTCTTTCCTGCTTTTCAAAAAGAATTTTGACTTTTTCGATACGAATTAAGATTTTCAAAAATTCCAAATTTCAACCCTTTTGAAATTCAATAATTTACATATTAAGAATTGTTACGTAGTTACTCTAAAATTATTTTCAAGATTTCAAATTCAATTATTTTCTAGAATATCTAACTAAAATTCTAAATATTTTTATAATTTAATTAATTTCGAAAAAATTTGAATAAAAATTGTTCCAAAAAACTAACTTTTTTAGAATTCTCAATTAAAATACTCCAAAAAATAATTTCTTTAGAATTTTCAATGAAAATTCTCCAAAAATTAATTTCTTTAGAATTTTCAATTAAAATTCTCCAAAAACAAATTTCTTTATCATTTTCAATTAAAATTCTCCAAAAGCTAATTTCTTTAGAATTTTCAATTAAAATTCTCCAAAAGCTTATTTTTTCAGAATTTTTAATTAAAATTCTCCAAAAACTAATTTCTTTAGAATTTTCAATTAAAATTCTCCAAAAACTAATTTCCTCAGAATTTTTTAATTAATATTTTTCAAAAGCTAATTTCTTTAGAATTTTCAATTAAAATTATTTAAAATTTTTAATTTGAAACCTTTTGAAATGTAATTGTTTAAAAAGAATTGCTAACTCAATTCTAATAAAATTTAATTATTTTTTAAAGTATTTAAGAAAATTATTTGTTAAATAATATATA